TCATTGTTTATTGAAGACTCCAACTCTGATAGAGTAGATGTTTAGGAATGATCACTGTTAACGTACAATCATGAAGAAATGCATGCTGGGTAGTTCCCGACTAGCAGATTTATACCTCACTAACACAAATCTGAAGGAGACGCACACATGAAATCGTATGACAGCAGCCAAAGAGCTCTAATGACAGAATTCCATTATCTACTCTCTATTTTGGGTCAAAACTGTAACTTTAATGTTGATTTAAGTGTTTTTTTTACTTGTTTTGTACTTTATATAAATGTGAAATTCACTGAACTAGCAGAATTTTACTCTGAAATTATTATTTACTGCTCTTATGGCAATTAATAAGTGAGATACACACAAGCATTATTTATTTATTGTTTTATGTATTTATTTATATGTTATTCTGTTGCATCAGTTATTAGATGTTGACTAACTGGAGCTCTTTATTGTGTTCATTTTGAAGGAAAACAAATACTTCAAGCATTTCTTTCCCCTCAAGATATTCACTGAATGCAGGAAAAACCTGCATCCAGTTTATTGGTGCATTAGCGCAACCTTCTGCTCCGGAGAGTGGATCAGACAATAGACTGACAATATTTCACACACAACAAACATCAAAAAATCTAAATACATACACCATTAACCTATATTTTATCCTCCATGTTTTACACTATAATATGTCGACAAAAGTCATTAAAAAGACATAATATAGTATGTCCAATAAGGCATAAAAAAGTCAAAGTGTAGTATGTTGTAAAAGTCGTAGTATAACTTTATCCAGTCTGGTACATCAGGTTTAACGACATCAGGGTGTTTTATATATGAAGCTGAATCACATGATGAGGCCCAAACCACCCTCAAACCAGCATGACACACAAACAAGAAAAGGAACTTACTGAAGCATTACTTTAAATAATTTTGTTATTTATTCCTTGTTTTGGGCTACAGGAGGGAACAAAAGGTTACTGACAAACATAAAGTACAACTTCCAGGCTGGATTTATGAATGAAATATGCAAAACAATGATATATATAGAAAACAAAAATACAATCACAATTTGGATGTTTGAAATCAGTTTCTAGGTGAGTATTTTTTAGCCCTCGTTAAGCTCAACCTGGATGTTAACTCTTCGTAGCCAAAATGTTACAAAAATACAGTATATATATATATATATACTTTTTAAACATTGCACTGTTCATGCCACTCGCAGAAAAGTGCGAAAGAATACAGCCTTTGATTCTTAGAAATACCCTCAACAAGGCTATTTACACTTTTTCTATTACTCAAACCCTACAAACCAAGAGAGAAGAAACAACCACTTCCTGCTCTGGTGTTTTTAAAGCTCACATAGTCACTTGTTAACTTTTGTATTCCACCTTTGAGGCACTTTAAAATCTAGAATACAGTCTCTAAACCCCATGAGCATCAATGCAAAACAGAGTTTCTCATGTCAGAGTATTTAGGATCCTATTCTCTGTGTATGGATCGACTCGGTGGAAGCTGGTGTGTGACTCGATCAATGCATTTTAATCAAAGGAACAGTCCTGCATTTTGAGTGTATGCCTCTTCGTTGTCTTACCAAGTCACAACTAGTTATCGAACATTAAACGAGAATCAAAGTGAAACCAGAAAAACCTGCTTTTGTTACAGTAGTCCTGCAAAATAAAGACATTTGTAACTACTCTAATAACTATAACTACAGCCTGAACACAAACAAACTAATGTCGTTTTATTCAATATTTGTGTTTTTTTTGGCAGCCTTTAACAAAACATTTTCCATAAGCTCCCGGCATTCAGCTCTTTACATATTTTTGGAACAAAGTATCAAAAACTGTCAAGTGCACAAAGCCAACATTACATACAAACAGATTTGGAATTGTGTTTGTTTCAGACAGTTTCTGATGTGATTTAAAATATATTTGGCCGAAGTTCTTGTATCTCGGCTTGCAGTAACATTTTAAATGGTCTGGTTGAAAAACCTCAAAGTAATTAAAGATTAAAGATCTGTGTTGGTACTTTGGGAGTGAAACTCAGGTATTCTATCAGCGTGAGAGGCAAAAAGTCTCAAATGATACTCAACCCTACCCACGGTTAGCCTAGCTACACAACACGTGTTTACGATGGTTTTAGAGTTGTTGGAAGGTATACATTTCTTATTTGTGATGGAGCTGGGCTAGCAGCTTTCCCATGCTTCTAGTATTTGTGCTAAGCTAGGCTAAACATCCTGGAGATTGAAATGAGGTGCAGCTCAGTGTACTGCGGAGGTTACTCCTAAGGAAACAGTTCATCCCATAATACTCATCAGTGCAACAAAACAAAGTTTTTTGTCTGTTTGGGTGTTTTCTCAGTTCAGTAAATAAACATTTTCATCTCCTATTTGGGTCGAACTGATTTTTGCAGATTCAAATTTAGTTTTTTTTATTTAACAAGAAAAACAGTCATATGCTGCTGTTTTAGATAATAAAACATGTGCATGACAGCAGAGTAAACAGCTTTCAACCACCAAGACACCAGAACCAAAACTTTTTATTTATTTAATACTGACCTCTAGTAAGGGAGCTTTGGTAATTAGACAACACCACCAAGGACAAATGATAATTGATCTATAACTGAACATCTAAGCCAGTTTGAAAAGGCGACTGCTTTATGCCGAGAATTAAAAGAAAAACCTGACTCCTGTGCAGGTGGTGGCCTTTAACCGCTCAGTGGTTGGATTAGGGAAGAAAATTGGTGACAGACAAATGTCAAACACACTTCTGGAGATATTCAAGCTTTTCTCCCAAACATCAACACAAAAAAAGATACAGCCGTGGCTACTGTTCTGCTTTCTCTTGTGCAGTTCCCGTCACCAGCAGCAGGTTGCAGGCCATGAACTGGACGTTCAGCACGTTGCTGGTGTTTCCAGTGTACAGTCCCACCAGCTCGCCGGACGAGCCGTCGGCTGGCGTCCCTCCGTGGGAGTTGCGGATGTCCCACACCCGGACTGAGTTGTCTATAGAGGACGACGCCACCAGGCTGCTGTCCGGGCTGAAGGACAGGCTGGTGACGCTGTCCGTGTGTCCTCGCAGGTCTTTGAACAACGTCCCTGATGCCAAGTCCCACAGCTTCACCCTCTGGTCCTCACCGGCGGACGCCAAGTACTTCCCGTTAGGTGAGAAAGCGAGCGACAGCACGGGGCCACGGTGGCCGGTGAAGAGGCGGACGGACGCTCCCTGCTGGGTGCTCCACAGCCGGACGGTCTTGTCTGTGGAACCAGTGGCCAGGTAGTTGGAGTTGGGGTGGAATTTGACGCAGTCGACGTCGGAGAGATGCCCGGCGTAGAGCCGCAGCGGGTAGGTGCGGGAGAACGTCCAGAGGCGGGCCGTCCGGTCGTGGGAGCCGCTGGCGAAGTAAAGGCTGCAGGGGCTGACGTCCACGTCCCACACTGGGTAGGCGTGGCCCTGGTAGAGCGCCGTGTTGGTGAAGCTGCCCAGGTCCCAGTAGCGGATGGTTGTGTCCTCAGAGCAGGAGAGCAGGCCGGAGCTGTCCGTCAGGAAGGCGGTACGAAACACCGGGCCGCTGTGACCTCGCAGTGTTTTTATCTCGCTGCCAGAGCAGTCTTCTTCATCCGCCTGAGGAGAAACAAAAGTGACATCTGACATTACCCAACTCAAAAACACAAATTTAATTTAATCAATCTGAAGTATTAATTATCGGGCTGCCTCTAACAATTCTATTCTATTCCTCAATTCACTGGTTAATGTCAAAAATATTTTCCTGTCAACCACCTGTCCAAAACACAATTTAGAAGATAAAGAAAACAGAAACAATTTGCATTGAAAAAGCTGGAACCAGAGAATTTTCTGGTCATTTACTTTATCAATCAAAAATGCAATGTATGGGTCGGGCTTCTCAAATATGAGGATTTGCTGCTTTTTGCAGCAGTTTAATTAAATATCTTTGGGTTTTTAATTATTATTAGATTGAAAAAAAGAAAATCACTCTGGACTCTGGAAAGCCCTAATAAGCTATACATATCACAAATTGGAAAAAACAATGTCAACTGCACAGTAAACTTGCTTTTACTGACTGAAGCCAAGGTGTTTTCACATGATTAAACACATTGAAGCCATTTGAAACAACCATCAGACGATATTTATCCCTTCAGTCAACTCACTTCCTCCTCCAGTACGTCACAGGCCAGGTGGATGAGCGATACGTCAGCCTGATGCGGTTTGGCCTTCAGCTTTCTGGCTCGGAGGCTCCACAGTTTCACCGTGGAGCTGTCAAAGCCGGCGGCCAGCAGCCGACTGTCGGCCGAGACCTCTGCGGTGTTCAACGTCTGCTCCGTGTGGTGGAAGGCGTAAAAACACACTGTGGTGAGCGTGGGGGGCCCCTCACGGACCTTCTTGATGCAGTCCTGCAGAGTCTCCAGGGCCGCCTCGCTCTGTGGGATCCCTGCAGGGACCTCCACCCCCTCGCCACCCTCCGCCCCGTCCACCCCCGCCCAGGAGGAGGTGGAGTTTGGGGCGGCGGTCGCCCCGCCAGCTGCTCCATACAGCTGGTAGTCTGTGCGCCTCGAGGCGGTCACCTCCACCTGCAGGTGTGTGCTCAGGGTCCTGCAGAGGGCACTGTTGTCCTCACTCTGCAGGTAACGCAGCAGGTAGCTGTAGGCCGGCTCCGTCAGGTGAACCACGTACTTGTGCTCCAGGAAAGCACTCAACTTGGGATTGGCTGCGACGTCCTGAGAAGTGAGAACATGGCGGAGCTGCTCTATGGTGGCGCGCTGCTCGCTGTCCTGAAGAAAGGCGCCGTGGAAACGACTGTAGAAACCATCTACCGCCCCCTTCAGGCCGCAGTGCACCAAGTCCAGGTGGAGGTAGACAAAGAGCGGGTAGAGAATGCTGCTCACTTCCTTCGCCCAGGATATATCTGTTTCTGATTTGTGGGAAATAAAAATTATTGTGAGGGTAGAATCCAAAGACGACGTGTACGTATGATTTGGTGGACACCATTTTCCAAAACAACCTCGAGCAGACATTTAAAACGGTGACTGTTGGTAATGTGGTAAACAGGAATTCAGTGACAATGCAGCAGGACTGTGAATCATAGGACACCTGACAGAAAGGAGCGCAACCGGGAGTACTGAGTCTCATACTGCTGTGGGTCGGACTGGCAGGGTGCAGCAGACACGATGTTGGCACACCCCGACTCTGTCTGCACTGCTCAGAGGAAGAGAGAGAGAGAGAGAGAGAGAGAGAGAGAGAGAGAGAGAGAGAGAGGGGTAGGAGAGAAAATAAAAATCAGCTTGGCACAAAGCAGGGCAGATCAGCCACAATAGATAAAAAAAACACATGTGCGGGTATGTAGGGACTTTAATTTATAATAATGCATTAAATGACATACACAGATCATATGTTCTCAACTATTAAATAAATGTACATGTGACATGACTTGTCGTGATGTGGAACACAAATGTCATCACCACCATCTTTGCAGTCATCTCACCTGTGAGACTGGCAGCCATCTCCTCCGCAGACTGGAACAGCTTGGCTCCTTTCAGAGAGCCATCGGTATCCACATACTGCCTCCGCTTCAGGTACTGAGCCACGGCGTACTGGATCTGCTCAGTGCGAACCCGCTTCATGACCTGAAAAAAAAACAACATAGAAGTGTCACACACCTGTGAGGAGAAGTCACCTGCACATCACACCACACTGGTTGTACAGACTGGGTTGGTTGTTTTTAGGCAGGCATTCTGCTTGGAATCAGACTCATCGTCATCTACATGGCAATATTTATGTTAAGCATCATCTCAGTAACTTAGCAAACTAGCTAGCAAAAACGTGAGCTAATGTGTTTACTGAGGCATTAAACATTAAAGATAAGATAATCCGTTGTAAGGGGAAATTTACAGGATTACAGCAGCATAGTGGATAGTGCAAAGAAGAGACATAGTAAAAAACAAGATCAAAACAAGTATTATAAATAAGTAAATAAGTAATAAAACAGTAAAACACATGAACTAAGTAAAAAATGCACAATAAATAAAATATTATATATACAGACAGAATAATAGTTGTGTTGCAATAGTATACATACAGACAGAATAGTTGTAGAATTGCACAATGTATTTATATTTAGTGTTTTTAGTGTGTGGTCTACTGGGAGCAGAGCTGGTTGTGAAGGAAATACACCTTTTCTGACAATCTTAATATATGTGTTAGCATGCAACGAATGTGGAAACCCGAAACACGCGTTAATTCGGTCTAAAAGGCGGGTTGGTTTCCCCATTAGAGGAGGATGCCTTGAGCTGAGCTAACCGGCTAACTTAGCGCCAGTGGCAGCAGGCCTGGCGGCTCCAAACTTTTAGCGGGATTGATCCGGTTCCGTAGCACCACCGGGTCGTATACCGGTACTCACTGCATATCGTGCGGGTTCCTCTCCGTGTTCCGTTGCTGTGTGCAAGCTAGTGAAGGTTTAATGCTGATGTATCCTAGCTGAAACTACGTTGCCGCTCCGGTAAAGCCTCCATCAAATCATGTTAGCTACAGATTAGCTAGCTAGCTCGCTTTCATCTCTGATGGGTAACAGCTATCGTGAATCTACTCGTCCTCCTGGCTTCACCGTTAGCATCCACAAGGTAAATGTAGCGACAGTCTACTAGCTATGTCTGGATCGGTCGGCTTCTTCTTCTTTTTTGAGGTTTATTGGCGGTTGGCAAACATGAATTGGTGCATTACCGCATATATATATATATATATATATATATATATATATATATATATA